TCTGTTTAAAATTACTTTGAAAAGAAAAACACAGAATATCGCACACCTTTACGAAAGCATAATTAGCTGTATTTTATAATTTCAGAAGTACCATGTCGTGCAGCCTACACACCATTTTCTGGTCTCTGTGTTTTGCGTTAAAATCATTCCTTCGTCCGGTTGGCAGCTTCACAATCGAAAGTTACACGAGTACAATTTTACCGAAAAGAACAGAGGGACTGTTTAAAGTATCCTTATGGTTGCATTGATCGCTGATCGAAAGCGTAACAGGGTATTGATATTCACTAGAAAATCTTCACTTTTTTATCATGAATAACTGCGATTGCCTTTTGGAACTAATTTTGCTATAAACCCATCGTTGCAGGGCTTGCCTACAGTTCTGTTACACCACAGTGTTGCAGAAGGAATTGTACAGAGTGGCACGTCACTGGAATACACACAGGATTAGACCCTATCCAAATCAAGAAACCCCAGCTGGCAAACCAGACATGTTATTCTTTCTTCCTGAAATAACAGGTAATTGGCTGTGTGAAAACATTGACATCCTTAATTGGAATCCACACCCATGCGCGCTAGAGCAATAACGAAGAACAAATTGTATGCACTACCTTTTCATTTTTGTCCTTCTTAGATTCCAAAAATTATCAAACTGAAGTTGAGGAAGATGATTTGGACACAGCGGATGAAAACTTCTGCAAGGAACGTGCACCCTTCGGTTGTCGTGAAGAACATTCTGAGCTTATGCTTCATATTATGGAAGAAAATAACCTCTCCTTGCCAAAAAATGCAGAAGATGCGCTTCAATTATACATCACTCTGCTAGCAGAACTGCAATCAGTTTTGTAGCTTTGATTTTGATTTTAAATAGACTTTCGGATTTAATGTCAAATTTCAATTCTCTCAGACTACACAAAATGCATGTAGCATTAACAACGTGGCACCTTATGCGACCACAAAAAACAGTAATCAAAGAAATGGAATTCTAAAGTCCAAAACATTAACAGTTTCCATTATATCGTTTCAACATGGCGTTTAACTGCTGTCATATGTATTTACAGCCACTAGGGATCAACGTTGACATTGTGAATAAACATTAACTTGACCAAAAAATCACACGATCACATAAAACAGTTATCAAAGAAATAAAATTCTAACGTCTAAAACATTAACAGTTTCCTTTATATCGTTTCCAACATAGCGTAAATGCTGTCACATGTGTTCACAGCCACCAGGGACCAACTTTGACATTGTCAATCGGTAACATGATCAGAAAATCTCTTTTGTTTTCCCTGTGGTGATTTAGTCCGAGAAATCCCAATGCCTTGGATCTCGGAGGTAAAAGTCAAAGTTATCCCTCAAGTGATGGAAGGATCGATAATTTCGGGCGACATTTAAGGCACGAAAGCAGGTATGGGCTGTTGGCCTAATAGCTTCTTCCGCCATGTTTTCGAAGCGCACTACAATGCCTTTATCTGGAAGAAGCACGTCAGAGGCAGTACAGAAACGAACGAACTTCACTGCCATTTTTGCATCCAGATTTCTGACGTAGCGTTTGACCCACCTGTGCACTTTTTCCTCTTGTGGATCGCTTGGCGTGGCATTCAGTCGACCTGCAACTCTCTCTGGGGTAGGACAGCACATTTGGTAAAGCGAGTCTAACTCCTCTCTGGTCAGTGCATTCCAAAACTCCCCCATCCCATCTCGTAGCTTTAGTAACGGAAGAAAAGGCTTTGTTATCAACTCTGCCGTGGCTACTTTCAGTAGTAACTTACGAAGGTTACTAGGCAAGGGCATGGTAGTTTCCTTGAAATCATCTAAGATATCCATGATCTCTTCTGACGGAAATGGCTTTGTCCCGTTCAAACCGATAAGCATCGTTTCCCGTTCTTTCTCAGGTAGCAGCAACAAGAACGAGTCCAAAAGGCAATCGTCGTCAACCGACCTAAAGATGGCATGGTGGAGAGAAGCCCTCGCTAACTGCACCGGAAAGCTTCCACAGAGCAAAAAGCCATGAGTCAAAATTCGCCCGACCGTGGCATAATCGTCTGGGCGCATCGCTGGTGACACTGATATCGTGAATTGGGAGCTTCCTTCACAATTTAGCAATACAAAACGTTCCCAAAACAGGGAGAACATTTCGCGAACCACTCCATCACCACTTCCAGAGTCTTCGTCAAAAATGACTACAAGCTTTTGTTTAGAAACCTCTGGATCTTCGTAAACGCTCATTTATTCAGTGATCTTATGTCGACTAATGGTGACGATCTTTTCGTGATTCTTCTCCAGTGCATTATGCTCCTGCTTACGGCGCTCTTCCAAGCTTGCGTAGCTGTCATGTGTAATTATCTCTGTTGTTTGCGTTTCGTCGTCACTCTCAAGAAGAACTTCTGGTGGCTTTGGTGAGACATCCAATAAAGTCGCGTCAGCAGATGTCTTGGGTTTATCACTTTCTCCTTCAAAGAAGGTTACTTCATTCTCGTCTAACGCTAATGGTAATGGAAAACTTTCTTCCAACATTGAAAGGAGCTCTCTGTCGGCGACAGCCACACTTTCCTCAGGGTATAGAGTAAAATTAGGCATCTTAGTCAATCTAAAATACTTAGGAGTAAGGCTAAGGGATCCAATCCAATCGTACACTGCCAACATTGAAGCCGAAGAGGGGAATGATCGCGTTAGGACACCTAAGTCAACATGACGTACTGAAACAATAACTCCATTTTCGTTAGGCTGAGGTGGAACCCGTCCCTCTCGTGCCTTCCTCAACAAATTCAACGCTTCTGCTTCTTCTTGAGCTTTAGCTATCTCTTGCTCCATAAGTTCGCGCTGCTTCCTCTCCGCGGCTTCTTTCGTGGAATGTTTGGCTGCGTCTTCAGTTTCTGATTTGGCAACTTGCTCTTTGAGATCTTCAAAAAACGCTTTTCTCTCACTGCTACTGCCAATGAGCATTGAGGATTGGAGGAAATCTCCATTATCTTCATCAAAGAGGCTGGGCAGAGTGTCCCGAAACACAGACTCGTGAAGACCGTCATCTGAGGTGTTATCGTCATCTGACAAACAACTCCTCGATAGCAGATAAACACTTGGAAGGGTAAACCCAGTTATTTCCTTGTACTTTCCCGCAGAAAATGGCACGTTTTCAGAATCATCCTCTAAATCGTTAACTGGTAGGTCTGCATAGTTTGCAAGGACAAAATGCATATCATCTTCGGGACCTTCAGAGCTTACACCTCTGGGAAAGAAAAGCTTCTTAGCAATTTGAAGGCATTCTTCGTACCCTGCATCCCTGCAAACATTCATCCGGTGTTTTCCACCTCCGCGATCACTGCGTTTCTGTTTGTACTTTCCATTCGACCAATGTTTCCAGCCAAATTCTAACTTCAATGTCTCCTTTTTACGCGCCTTTGCAGCGTAATTAGTGGAATCGTTCTTCGCATTTGCCTTCTTGCCCCGCTTATTTTCCTGTAAAAGTGCTTTTACTCTGTCTATTTTTGCTTGCTTGTCGGCTGAAGAATCAGGTCCTCTGGAAGTTGACGCTCCGGACGAACAAAATGCCTTTAGTCGCAGGCGGTCGCCAATTGTGTTGACGCCCAAACTTGCAAGCTGCTCATCGGACATGAGCAAAACTGTAGACTTGTCCACCTATTTCCAAAGAGCAATTACAATCAAGGGTACTGTTAAAGCATAACTTCATTTGTAATTTATCAACGCTAGTAAA